CGTCATTGTTAACTTCATTATTGCCATTATTGTTATCATTATCTTCGTGTTTAACTTCATAAAACTTCTTTTTATAGTTTAAATCAATTAAATTATTAGAATCTTTCACTAATATTGATTTATTAACTAAATCAGCTATATCTCTTCTTAGTTTGAATTCAAACAGTTCATTCAATTTGGCCGGTAATAAATCTTTATTATTTGAATATAATAATAAAGTCATTGTTAATTCTAATTCCTCCATAAATTTAACATTTTTAATTGCTTTATTTGTCAATTTATCTTGAGCAAATTTGATAATGTTCATAACAAAAAGTTCTTGATTATTATCATCATTTTTGGAATCTTCATTATTATTTCTAATCATTTCAATTAGATTCAACAATAATAATTTGAAATGAAGAAAATTATTTTGTTCCAATAAATCAGGATAGTTCAAATTCAATTTATTTATAGCTAATTGAACTTCCCCATTCAATATATTTAACTTAATTTCATTTCTAATCTTTATCGAATTTATACCCATTAATAAATTCTTTTGTAATGGGTTAACCTCATCTTCTTCATCATCTTGTTTAGTGCCTTTATTGTTTAAATCAATACCAATCTCTTTAGCAAATTTAACAGTTGAACTTTCATAACCTTCAAATATCAAATAGTTCAAAACAAGATGGTTTAACGATTGCTTATCTATCAAATTGGATTCCATTAGCGCATCCCAGTCTAGTTCATTATTATTATTCCCACTTATATTACTCGTATTGCTCATGATGATGTGATTCTTTAATTGTTTTAATATTTGATTTCTTAAGGGTTAATTTCTGAGAAGTTTAAAAGCAAAAACAAAATTAATCGAGATTTAAAAATTCGCGAAACGTGTTATTTAGCCGTGAATTCTGACAGATTACAATTGAAAATTTTTGAAGAAATTTTATTTATTTCATGATAATTTGTATTTATATTTATAGTCTATAATGATAATCTATATTTGGATTTATAATTTCTCTTGTTTGGTCTCCTCATAAGTTGGATAATCAGTATAACCAACTCTGGTAGGAGCATAGAAAGTATCACGGTTATAAGCATTTAAAGGTAATCCTTCTCTCAATCTATAAGGTAAATCTGGATTAGCAATGAATAAACGACCATAAGCAATCATGGTATTTGGTTTTTTAACATCCTTTGCTGCAATTTCAGGATTCAAAGCATAATTACCAGCTCTGATAACAACACCTTTCCAAATGTTGTAGATGAAATCATTTGAACCATCAACTTCACCAACACCTTCTGGGTTTAGAAGATTTGCAACTCTTGGTTCCACTAAATGAATATATGCTAATCTCTTACCGTCTAATGCTCTTTTCTCCAATTGGGCAATAACATGAGCGTAAACGGCTAAGAATTCTGGATCATTTGAACCATTCATACCACCGAAAACACCATATGGTGATAATCTAATACCAACTTTTTCAGCACCAATAGCATCAACGATGGCATCAACAACTTCCAAAGTGAATCTTGCTCTGTTTTCAATTGATCCACCATATTCATCAGTTCTTCTATTTGATCTAGAATCCAAAAATTGATTCAATAAATAACCATTTGCTGAATGAATTTCCACACCATCTGCACCAGCTTTCAAAGAGTTTTTAGCAGCTTGAACGAAATCTTTAACATATTCTTTAATTTCTGGGATAGTTAGACCATGTTGAGGATTATTGCATTCCTTGGCAGCTTTTTCACTAGCTTCATCCATATATGGTTCATCAGAAGCACTGACATATTTAAACCCATCAGCTGCTAAAGCACTTGGGATTGATTGCCAACCTAATTGCCATAACTGTTGGAAAACAACAGATTTGTTCTCATGAATTTTTTTGAAAATTTTACTCCATTGTGAGATTTGTTCTTCGTTGAAAATACCTGGTGCTGTTTCATAACCACCAGCTTTAGCAGAGATGAATGTTGCTTCGGTTATCACAAAACTACCTTCTTGGTTGGATCTTTGATCATAATAATCAATCATTTGGTCAGTTGGCACGTTCTTGACATTTCTCATACGGGTCAATGGGGCCAATGCAACTCTGTGGTTTAGTTGATGGTTACCCAATTTGATAGGTTTGAATAGATCTGTGTCTTTTAAAGGAATTGGTTTGAAATCTTGAATTAGAGGCATGATAATGTGAATTGATTTAATGATAAGGTTTGACAAGAACTAACTAATTGAAAAAGAAGTCATTTTGAGATATTTATATACGATTCAATTCCTTAATTTCCAATTACAAATCAAACTTCTTTTTTGTTGACGTTTTTTCGTTTGCATTTCGAATTTTTTTTCTTTTGATTTCTAAGACGTCGGTGTTTAAAAACAAAAAAAAACGGTTATGCCGATTTGGAATACGGAATTTCAACGGACACGGAAATTCAGCGGACAGTGATGATAAATACACAAATATTGAATTAATAAACATACAAATCATAATGCAAATAGATATTACCACTATAAAACAGGGAAACTAAAAACAAAGAAAACACTAGCAAATATGCAATAATAACAAATCAAAACAAAAAACAGAAACAAAACAAAATCATCATCAATAAATATAGTCATATCATCACTTCACATCTTCATACCATAATATTTATAAATTCCTCTCTCCAAATCCCCAAACACTTCATCTGCATTGAACAACACACCTTTAGAAACACTTATCTTCTTATTAACATTCTTCAAGAAATCAGGTTGTTTTAAAATCTTGAAAATTTTACGTCCAGTATCAATATCATATTCAGTTAATCCAATTTTTGATAGATTATCTTGGTTTTTAAAATCATCAACTTTGAAAACCCAACCACGTCTACCTAATGAGTCAAAAGTTTTCCAAACTACCCTTTCATTATAATCATTTCTTGTTATTAATTTCCCTCCAATTTGTTCCAATTCATTAATAATCTTTATTGAAAATTCAAAAGCAACTAATGATGGACAACAATTCAAGAAATGTGGATTATCAATACTCCAACGGTTTATAAATCTATTTGCTGTTAAATCCAAGAATTCCAATTGTTGATAACGTTGAGAAGTTATTAATTTTTCATCATTAGGAGGTTTTAAAAATTCAACAAGTGATTCAATATCAATTGAAGTATTTGCAATGCATAAACTTTTCAAATTTAAAAATTTCTTCTTGATCAACATTAAGTTTTCAAAACTAATTTCTAACCCACCTAAATTTAAATAAACTAAATCACAATCAAACATTTTCAATAAGAAAGTCAATTGATTATTGTTTAAAGGGGATGAGGTTGATGAATCACATTGTAAATTCAACCAAACCAATTTATTACATGTTATTGCTGGATGATTTATGAAAAAATTGATCAATTCTCTTGTTGTTAACTGGATACAATATGATAATGATAAATGAGTTAATTGTGCAGT